TGTGCAAGAAACTCACGTAAAGGCTGTAAAGTTTGTACTTCAATGTTGAACTTTTTCTCGAACATCTCATTAAATGAAATCATACATTGTTGCAATGTTGTATCGTCTTTAAAGTATTTGTATATGTGAATGTTTTGGGCGCTTAAAGACTGTTCGTCATTTTCTATCTCGACTTGAAGTATAAAGTCAACCTTTCTGAAAGCACGTGTTATATACATAGATGTTATGCCAATGTACTTCTCTTCATTTATGTTCACAATCCAGTCTGTTGGAAACTTAAACGTTACTCTGTTCCCCTTTATTTTGACGTCAGGGTTTTCACTACTGAACGCAACAGTTAAAGGTATTTGTCTATACATTTAATTCGGATAAAAATAAACCATTTACTCTTTCTTTGCTTCAGCTTCTTTAGCTTTTGCTTCTTCTCTAGCTTTTTTCGCCAGCAAACGTGGGTTCTTCTGTCTTCCAGCAGCTAATGCAGCTAGTTGTTTTTCACTAAGTTTTCTCTTTGGTCTCTCTGGCTTTTGTTCTTGTTTTTGTTCCTTCAGTTCGGATAAAATTTGCTCGCGAATTTCTTTCTTCAATGCTTCAACATCTATGACACCTTGGGTCTTGTCCGTAGGGCTTGTCTGAGTCATTTGACTGCAGATAAAAAACTAAATTAAAACTTTAACCGATGTAAAATGAGCTTGTCAAAATCAGAGCGAGAGTCTATTATATTAAATGACGCAAGAGGAATACAACATCCTTTCTATTACGTAAGTCAGAGTAAAGATGGTAAAATATACGTAAGAAAAAGAAAGGTACCATTAGCGAATGCAGAGAGCGACAACATTAAGGTGCATGGCAAGGGTGAAGTCCACGAAGCCCATATAAAACCTTCTGTTCAAACTGAAAAGTCAATAGAACCAGAAGAAAAGAAGCCAGATGTACTTTCAATAACGAACCAAGAGCTTATTGCAAAGTTCGTGAATTTCATTGAAAACAAACCGAGTCAAAGAACCCTGACCCGCCAGTGAAAGAAGTTGAGACAAAAGAGAATGTACAGTTCATTGAAAATGTCAAGAAACAACTTCCACCACGAATACCAAGAAGAAGAGTGAGAATAATGAAGTAAATAGATATTTTTATCTGAAGTAAATACATGCAGAACGAACAGCTAAACGAATTTACTCCAGCAGAGCATATTCATCAGATTCGCTCATATTTCGATATCATAGACAATGCAGTTCAAATTGGTGACACTAATAGAAAATATTCTGACGCAAAGATTCCATCACAACCTGGAACTGCTAAAGATAACACATGGGTAACATTCAATCTCTCACCTCCTGGTGAAAATATGTTGGACCTTTACAATACATTCATTACGTATAAAATGGAAGGTCAATTTATTGCAGATAAAGAAATTGGTTCAGGTTCCAATAAAACAAACCCACCAGGATTTTGGATTGGTTTCGATGACGCTTTCTATGCAGTTGCTGGATATCAAATCCTTGCAAATGGTCGTATCGTATATTCTCAAGACAACGCAAGAGAAGAAGCATATATAACTTCAAACTCACAAACTACCGAACAAATAAAGAAAGTAGATGTTTTCTCAAAGACTCGACATGAAGATGTATGGAGTCATTCGGGAACATGCAGAACAGGACAAATTGTTAGTGGTCCAATTACAGCAGGAAAATCATTTGATTTTAAGCTTCGTTTAAGAATTCCTGTTAGAAGATTCCTTCCATTAGAAGCTATTCGATTTATTCCAGCTTTTGCAGGAAACATTCAGCTTAAAGTAAAGTTCAGTAGCGACGCCTTACAATGCACATCTATATCTGTAAATGATATCATTGCTTTCAATCCAACTCTTAAAGTTGCATTTGCTTCAGATTCAAATCCACCGACAAATAAATTTGTTCCATGGAATGAACCATTCACTATGATAACGAAGGCAGTAGAAGCTAGTGGAACAGTTACTATTACAACTGTAAACCAGCAACTATTTCGAACAAAGATGGATTTTAATGAATGTTTCATTCATCCAAAGTCATTCTCTTTAGACCCTAACATTTATACAGAACTTGTAGAACATTATACAAACGAGGCTTTATGTTTTCCTGTTAAAGTTATGGATTGGATTCCTATGGACGGTTCATTCTCAAAGAATACAGATAGTTCAAGTGCAACATTTACAGCAGCTTATACGCCTATTAATGTTAAAAGTATTTGGGCACTATTTAGAAAGAAAGACAACTATTATGTTAATTTTGAGAACCCTAAGTTTAAATATCTTCAGCTTTCCATGGGAGCTTATGGAAATATGCCTGCAGAACCTGAAAAATCATATGGACCTGTATTTTATGAAATGGTTGCGAACGCTTGCAATACAAACAATGATATGATGGATTTAATGAAGATGTTATGAGGTCATTGGTGGATGATGGTAGTGTGGAACATAAATGGGATAGCTATGACAACACACATTTCTTATGTGGTTTTCCAACAGAAGTGGACTTTTGCTTCCAGCAAGGTCAAACATCTACTGCTCCAATAACATACAAATTGTCTGTTAAAGGACCTATTGAACTAGCAACTGAAAATGTACCAAAGCCACTTATTGGATTTATGAGGGATTGTTGCTTTGCAATACAAGTAAGACAGTCAGGCATACCAATAATAAGACTTGACGACTATAACTTAGCACTGACGACAGTGAGAATAAAGGATGAACGTTTATTTTTAAAGCTTATAAATGAGTTCTTCATCAAGCTCTCGTGAACCTTCACCATCTATGAAACAAACTTTACCAAACGATTATGGAGCACCTATTGAATATTTCTTACGAGCTGCACAATGGCAAAGAGCAGTCTCACCAAGATTAGGTATTCCACCAGCTCCTGTCAAAAATAGCATTTGGTCAAGTCCTTATATAAAATATGGTCTCCCACTAGGTTTGCTAGCTACAGCAGGAGCAGTAATGATGTTGAAAAGAAATAAAGCAAATGTTGTAAATAATACTGAAGTAGCTGAAGTTAAACAAACTCCAACACCTTCACAAACAACACCTTCAATGACTCCTGAACCTATGGAATTACAAACTCCTGTTCAAAAGTCAACTCCAAAACCGACTCCAACATTTAAACCAGAACCTACACCACAAATAAATCGTAAAACTCCTGCGTTTCCTTACTGAAAAAATAACGTTATTTTTATTTAATATTAAAATTTTTATTTGATTGAAATGACAAATAAAGTCACTGAAGCAATGAAACAAAAGTTTTTGGTAGAATACATTAAATCAGGAGCGGTTCCAGAAGGTTTTTACGTTCATACTATGAAGGATGGTAGAGTTCAGTTTAGAAAGATAAAGCAACCATTAGATAGAGAAGGAATTTTGAGAAAGATTAAACTTCATGAGGACAACATTGCTGAACTTAAGAAGAAGTTAGAAGAGTTGGAGAAAGGAAGAGAGTTATAAAGTAATGAGAACGTTTATGTTATGAGAAATTTTTAACGTTAGTTTTATTTTTACTGAAAATTTTTATTTGGATGTAATGACGAAAACTATTGAGATAACAAACTACAACGGTCATGAGTTCAAGAACTTGTTCTTCGTTCCTCGTGAAAATACATTCTATCAGATACGAGGGAGAAAGGGTAAAGTTAGTTTAAGCATTTATGAAGGAATGAAGAATGGAAAGTTTATACAAGCATACGATACAAACGGTAAACGTGTTTCATTAGCTTTGTCAAAACTTACTAACATTTATTTTGACAGTGATTTTGACCTATATGAAGAAGAAAGTGAGTCAGAAGATTATGAGCTGTTATGTGAAGCACAGCAATGGGAGGAGTTGCAATACTTTTGTAAGTGAGAACGTTTATTTTTACATTAATGAAGTCGTTTGTGAAAACGTTAGTGAAGTGAAGTGGTTGGCGGCTTTGTAAATATTTAATGTTAAGTTAGTGTTGTCGTTTGTGTTGTAAAATATACGTTAATGGTTTTGTAAAGTGTCAGATTCACATATAATGGGTAAGGAGGCTCGCAGTGCCTCCGTACACAAGATATGTATACTAACTAAAAATGCTATAAATAAATTATTATATTTTATTAAAATGTGACTTTTAATAGTAAGTGAATAAAATAAATCAGGAATTGGGAAAGAAATAAGGTTAATTAAAAATAATGAAAATTACAAGTTTAAGGTTAATGAAAAAGTGACAATGGGCGAGTTTGTCCCCCACTCCATTGAGGCCAATGCCGGGATATCTTGCATTAAAAAAATTCAAAGAATTGACAATTAGATAGCACAAATTTAATTCTCTAGACAAAGTATTATTGCTTATATATTCAAAACATTATCCTTAGTTTTGATATGTTGGCCAAAAATTTTCTTGTTATTTTTTGTGTTTAAGCATAAATTATGTATTTACTTATGAAGGATAAGCATTTTATTCATTGTCATAAAGATGTACCATAATAAATTGATAAAATTTTAAAAAATTGTGTATTTTAGCGGGTATTATTCTGGCCAATGCCCGTGGTTACAAGATTTAATATTAACCATATCAATAGCAGACTCAATGTAAAAATTTAGATATATTTTTTTTTTCATTATTCAAACTTTGATAAATTTTAGTATAATGAATGATTTTGTTTCGTGTATGATACAGAAATGAAAAGCTTAATTAATATTATTTTGCATTTCTTCAAGAATGTTAGAGTATATCTACATTAAAAAATCAGATTCGAACTGCAATACTGCATCAAATTGATGCATATCTGATAAGGATCTCAAAAGAGTAAAGTTAATTTTTTTGAGTTTTTTTAAGTTTTGAGCCTTAGTAAAACACCATCTCGAGCAATATTTTTGGGACGACGATAGGTCTTATTTGGCCTTACAATGGACCCTTAAATCATATTAAAAATGTCTTTCGATCTGATAAAAAAATTAGATATACAAATCATTTTATTAAAATATCATTCTAGAGTTGCAAGGAAATTTTCATGTTCTTTGATATATATCAATTTTTTGAATTGATTCTAATATAAAGTCAGAATACGCAATTCGACTTTCGAAGAAATTCGGAATATTATGTATTATTGTGTAAATCACATACGTCGCTCTAAATATGTCGCGTAGATTGAACTTAACCTGAACAAGTGAAGCGAGATCTTGAATATGGCAATCATGAATTATTATATCATCCACTTTTGGAAGTGGGGCAGGATTCTTTTCTTTTGCCTGGTCGGCCACTTTTGGATTATCAACTTCTGAAATCACAATTTCAGATTTTCCTCCTTTTTTGATTTTGTGGAATTTAAGGGCTGGAGGTGGACTTATCATTGTATATAAATGGGCACAGTGCTGGCAAGGGATTGTTGTCAAATATTTCTCTTCCCAAATCTTCATTTTGTCTTGGCACTTTTGGCATATCATTGTTTTACAACGATTCTCCTCTTTCATAGACCCATTTTTCTTCTTGTTTTTTCGAAAGAGTTTTAATGCGCATTCATTCTCTGGTTTTCGAAGTTGATTTGCTCTTGCAATTATATAATTTAATGTTTCATTCATTTTACCTGCATATGACTTTACTCTTGACATAACTGCATTGTTATGGGAATGAAAACTTTCCACATGGTTTGAGCACGAAATCCTTGGTTTTCGCAAACAGAGTGCAAGATTTTTCTTCTGAGTTTTTAATTCGAGAAACGCTTCATACTGCGCACTATTGATGGCACCTGAGTTTTTGTAAATCTCAACAATTGGAAGAAATAATTCATACTTATAATCATATTCTTTTATATTCCACGCAAAAACAATTGTACTCGCAATTGCACAAATCCAGGTGCCTGCCCCCAATCGATTTAAATAGTGTCTCAAGCAATAATACACAATCAAATGGTTGAATGATGTAAACGATTCCAAACCTTTTCCAAAATCGTTTATGAATGGGATTTTTTTGATAATACTTTCATCAACAATTGTCTTAAGTGTATCATAAATCAATTGATAAGATTTTGCCGACTCCGAGGGTCCTATAAATACACCCAACGGGAAACCCATGTTACCATATATAATATGGGGGTATATAGCTATATAATCATCAAGTGGAAATGTCGCGTCGAGTTCGATAGCTTGGGCATTTTCTATGAAAAGTTTCACTTCTGGATGGAGATATAAGAGCCATTGAATATTACTATTATTAAACTTGATTGGCATTTCATCACTAATTGAATGATATTTGACAAATCCAGGGATTAGATCAAAGAGATATGCAATATCATTTGAATTTCTGTGAGGATTAACATCATTTATATATTCATAATATAATGTCTTATCGAGTGCATTGTTTTTGAAGCTTGAATAGAATTCTTTTCCTAGAATTTTATTTACAAATTCAATATTGTCTTGAGATGAGTTTGTAGTTAAAACATGCTTTTTCATTTCAATATTAAAATAGGATCTAACACATGCACATTCTGAGCAAATATAAATTGAAAATGATAAATAGCAATCCTCACTGACCAATTCAAATATTTTATCTTCCTCATTTAAGATCAAAATTTGAATACCACTTTCTGTATGTTTTTGTTTCAACTTTAAAAATGATGGCAGTTGTTTTACAAAATCAAGAATTTGCTGCAAAGTAAATTGAGAATGCATTTCATTGCCAATATAAATTGAGATGATTTTTTTCTATCGTAATTTATTGTATTTTTGGAAAATTCGATATAAACATTATGTTTATCTAACATAACATCATGAAATTCGGAACTCTGATACTTTTCGGGGATGTCATGGCTTTTTATCCATTTGCATTCTTTCATAATATTTGCTAAACCGTCGTATTTTTTTAAAGCTTTTTCAACATTTTTTGGTGATGCAAGAATTCTGTAAAAAGTGACATTTTGGTGAATGATTGATTCGTATAGTAAGGTTTCAGAATAATTCATAATAAATGATAAATAGAATGAATGTGGCTGATAAATAGATGTTATTCTATAAAGTTTTACAAAAAGTGGAATAATTTTCTGTGGTGTATAATAAAGCACTTCTTCACATACATTGCAATAGAGATATAAATAATTGCCAAGTAAATCAGGTGTAAGCTTTAATATTTTATTCACTTTTTCTCGAATAGCTTGATCTGGACTGATTGAAATCATCGCCCTCTGACAATTAGTTAAATTCCTGAGTTTTGCAATAGTATTTTTAGCTTCAAATAGAATTACAATTTCGTTTATTTTAATTGAATGTTTTTTTTCTTCTCCGATAAAAGTGATATTATATCCCTTATATTTTGGTACATCTAATGAATCGTTGATTAAATTATCATAAAAAGAGTGATCCAGTGGTGGATAAGATGAGAAATATGGTGAGTATATATTAGTTGTATCATTATGTAAATATTGATTAACAGACTGAACAAATGCTTTATAAAATCATCACTATCGTTGAATTCTAAAAATAATTCTTGTTTCTGAATTAAGTGTGTTATAACCTTAATGGATTGACGTAAAAATTTTAATCTGCAAAATGCAAATCCAGCGACAAATTTGATTAGCTCTTTGGAATCGATAAAATCGGGAATTTCATTATTTGGTTCCTCATCATTTATTATATCTTTTTCAATTTCATTGAGATACTGAAGAGTGTTTTTGTCTTGATTATTTAAGAAAACATTTGTAAAGAGATGCTGTCGTGCTTCTGTAATATTGTTATTAGAGATCTCTAAAGCATTTCTTACTTGAGTTTCAGTGTAACCTAGAGATGTCAAAGACAAAAAGAGTTTCTGATTTATTTCCATTTGAAAAAAATTAAAACGTGACATTTTTCGCAGAGGAATGAGTTTCGAAATCAGTCAAATTTATGGAGAGTCAAACAGAAGTAAGAATTGTAAAGTGAAAATACCTATAAGAATCGCAGAAAAAATTAATCATTGTCCAATGAATGCTCAAGAAATTCAAACATTTGCTTCTAGTAATATGTTTGAGCAACTTAATACTTTGGAATTATCTATTCAATTATATAAGAAGAATGTAATTGACTTTTTTAATCTGGTTGAACTATTAATTTATTTTTTACCAGATTATCAAGGACAAATTAGAACAGTTTATAAAGATCTTGAAAACATTCAAGAGAAATTACTTAATATGCTTAATTCAAACGAAATTACTCAGTTCCAAATTCAATTACTCTGTAAATTCTTCATAAATTACGCCAAGCAAAAAAAAATCATGTACAAAAGGCAATTAAATCTTATATTCAAGATAAATTATATAACTCGCCAAAGTGGAGAAATGAAATATTCAAATGAGAATAATATCCGCATTGAAGCTATGATCAAATCAAGTATTTTTGACTAGTGTAATATACGCAACGAATTAGTGTTCAAATTGCCTCTTCCAACTTTAAATATCGATGAAATAATTGAAATTTCAAATAGGAAGAAAATTACGTATTTTGAATGTTGTTTGGAATTACGGAATTCTATTGATGAAATCACCACATTTCAATACTATAAGAATTTTTTCAAATTTAATTTTAAGAGTGAAATGGCATTAGATTTCACAAAAAAAGTATTAAGTATAATTTGGGAGGGATCGGATGGTTCGTATTATATTACAATTGAAAATCTGGAAGAATTATGCGAAAAATTAAATCGAGATGAAGGAGAAAAGGTTTTTTCTCTTATCATAAAATGGTATAATTATATGTATTGCATTAAAAACTATGATTTTGAAGATGAAGAAATGAAAATTACAATCAAAATTGTTAAAAATGCAAAATATGTTATTATAAATGGGGACAGGGAAGAAATAAACTTTATTGATTATCCTCCAATGCCGACATTTATTGAAAAAAAGAAGTTAGAGAAATTAATTAAATTTGAAGAAGTGAAAAAGGTATATGAAGATAATGTTTAATTGAAATGTAATTAGCATTTGGATTAAATGCAAGGTGAGATATAGAATAAGAATCAAACAGGGATTTTGCAAAATGAAAATTTAAAAAATTAAATACAATTTGAAATTTTAATGAAGAATTAAATGAATTTTGTTTAATGGTTAATAAAAATATAAATCGTAATTTTAATTGTAATATGAAACTTCCTCACACCTCAAGAGATGCGAAGAACTTTTGACAGGCAAAGTGCAATATTGATAGGTGATTGCACTTTGCCTGTCACATACATCTCGACAGAGGCAACATTCGATATGAAAGTTTCCTCTGTCGAGAAACTTCCTCACACCTCAAGAGATGCGAAGAACTTTTGACAGGCAAAGTGCAATATTGATAGGTGATTGCACTTTGCCTGTCACATACATCTCGACAGAGGCAACATTCGATATGAAAGTTTCCTCTGTCGAGAAACTTCCTCACACCTCAAGAGATGCGAAGAACTTTTGACAGGCAAAGTGCAATATTGATAGGTGATTGCACTTTGCCTGTCACATACATCTCGACAGAGGCAACATTCGATATGAAAGTTTCCTCTGTCGAGAAACTTCCTCACACCTCAAGAGATGCGAAGAACTTTTGACAGGCAAAGTGCAATATTGATAGGTGATTGCACTTTGCCTGTCACATACATCTCGACAGAGGCAACATTCGATATGAAAGTTTCCTCTGTCGAGAAACTTCCTCACACCTCAAGAGATGCGAAGAACTTTTGACAGGCAAAGTGCAATATTGATAGGTGATTGCACTTTGCCTGTCACATACATCTCGACAGAGGCAACATTCGATATGAAAGTTTCCTCTGTCGAGAAACTTCCTCACACCTCAAGAGATGCGAAGAACTTTTGACAGGCAAAGTGCAATATTGATAGGTGATTGCACTTTGCCTGTCACATACATCTCGACAGAGGCAACATTCGATATGAAAGTTTCCTCTGTATAGAAATTCTTCTCATCTCAAATTTTATGATTAAATTATCCCAATCATATCCCAATAATTTGATAAACATATTACAAATATATAAAACACTAAAATATCTTTATATATCCTTTCTTTTCTGATTATTCTTTATTAATTTTATTCATCTTTTGGCAAAATCTCAAAATTGAGGCGCAACATATATCGGATCATGCACCACTCATGGTACAAACTCAACTACGCATCTTTCGTTTTTTTGCATGTTTTTCGTCTCAAAGCATGGTCAATAGACCGTTTCAAAGACGAAAACATGCAAAATGTGGATGCCCTCTCATAATGACATATGGAAGATATGGGAGAGAAAACACCATATGGTGTTGCATAAATACTATATATTGAAAAAGATATAAACTAAATTTTATTAAAATCATAATAAATATGTGTTTACTTAATGTGATAGATGTACCTAGTATAATTATTATTGAATGTACTAAGATATATTTAAATAAAGATATTTTTTGTATATTATATAAGATTGGAATTAGTATTTATGAAG